TACCATGGTAGTTAACTAGTATTCTTTGTTCTATGGAACTTGGACATCTCCTAGCCTTCCATGAACTCTTGGAATAATTCTATTTATGGCTTCTAGCGATTCTGTGCCTAACTTTGTGGATTTTCACCTCTCACCCACACAGCTGATGATTCAGCAACCACCCTGACAAAGAATTCTTTCTCTCTAATATCCTGATCCACACATTTTAGCCTGTTCAGGTTCTCTGAAGTTTGACTTCTGTCTTCTCATCTCAGAAATTCCCCCTGATTGCATAGTGATTTTCCAAGTGCCTCCAGGTAGAAAACAGGGCCAAGAGTAGAGCTCAGCCCATTGGCTTCTCTTTTCTGAAACATTGTAATCCTGCAGTTCCCATTGGCTAAAGTTTGAAAACAGTTGTTTGATGTATTTTATTTTTATTAGTTGCTGCTTGTTTAAAAGAAGAGACTAAATTCCCAGTTCTGCCGTCATGGCCATAAGCAAAACTCCATTTAAATCTGCTTCTCCAGTTTCACCTCCCACCCCTGGTTATAAAAGTAGAAGTGCAGGCTAGTGCTGGGGCATAGTAGGCTAAGCCTCTGCCTGTAGTGCCAGCATCCCATATGCCCACCAGTTTGTGTCCTGGCTGTTCCTGATCCAGGTCTCTGCTGTTGCCTGGGAAAGCAGTGGAAGTTGGCCCAAATGTTTAGGCCCCTGCACTTGCCTGGGAGACCTGGAAGATGCTCCTGGCTTCTGATTAGCTCTGGCCATTGAAGCCATTTGGGGAGTGAATCAGTGGATGGAAGACCTCTTTCTCTGTCTCTCTTTCTCTCTGTAACTCTGCCTCTCAAATAAATAATTAATATCTTTAAAAAAAAGTAGAAATCCCCCATGTCAAAATTTTGGGAAACATGGAATTCTGTGTATCATTCATATTTATTCACATCATTGCCAGTTTGGAGTTGCTGTCTACCTACATATATAGCATTGAGGAACTTCATTTCCCCCTTACCTCATGTCTCCACCTCAGAGAACCTTTGTTGGAATAACACCACTGCCCACTTTCTGGCCTTCAGCATTCATGCTTTACAAAGTTAAGAGGGATAAGTGATAAGTGAATTTGAGAGAAGTATTTTCAAGCCAAGTGTACTGTTTGTTTACTTTCCCACATTTTTTACAACAAGCAGTCTGAAGATGCCTTTGGTTGTATGTCTTTTTCTATTACTAAATAGGTTTTTTTCAGTGTAGGGAAGATATTTGGAAGATGATGAGATAGTAGATTTAAGCAGTGTTGCCTGATTTATCTGTTTCAATACTAACATTGATATTTTGAACTCTTTTTGTCTATACCCATCTATTTCTCAGTTTGTCCAAAATTCGGAGGAAGAAATAAAGGAATTATTTATTCTTTCCCTGAAAACCAGTGATAACATAGGCATACATGTTTTTCAGCTAACATTATATCAGATCACTAAATATTTGTTAGTATGAGAAATGCAAATTCAAAAATTCACATTAGTAGCTATAGAGAAACTATAACCAGAAGTATATACAGTATACAAAGCTGTTTGAGTTTCTTATTTACCCTATTTCCAGTCAGCATTTGTTTATTGCTTCAAATCCAATTTCTAGGTATTCAAACTAGGTCCTTCAACCCCTCTGTGAGCTGGTACATTTTGTTATATACAGCTGCTGTTCCAAAGCTATTTTACAAGTACAGTGCCTTTTGTTATTTTCTGTAGAATGTGATCATGGAAAAAGCAAACTAGGGTAGTGATGTGTGAAAGAGAGGAAGGTAAGTAGAGGGAGGAGAAAAATTGAACAGATTTATAGGTGACAGATAACTTATGAAAGAGGTTATATAGATGTACCCAATTGAATTAGGTAATAGCATCCACAGTTTGAGGGAGATAAAAAGCAAGATTTCACATGGACAAAAGAGAAAAAATGGACAAGGAAACAAACACAGAGAAGGAAAAAAATCTCTGTAGTTGCCTGTACAGTCATGATCCACTAGTGATTCTTACCAGCTCTGGGTAATTCTTAGCAAATAAGTGCTGTTAATATTCTATATGGAAATAATGAAAATTCAGTTTCACTGCTGTTGGAGTACATCTTTATGTGATTCTTACCAAGATACATTTGTCATTAAAACTGTTTTGTAGCAATAACATAACTTTCAATAAAATTACCAGTGTTATTGATGTTTCCTGAGTTTACATTAAAAGGTTAAGTATTTTTTATCAAAAAGGATCATTTTCTCTGATATAATCAGTTTAATAATTTTTCTCTAGTTACTCCATCAGTTGAGGCTATTTGTGCAATTTTTTTTGTAACATTGTGGTCTAGATATTTAAAGGTAATATATTAGATTACCACTAAATATCAAAATACACATCTTTTCAATAGACCAATTTTGATTTATGCATATGTATTTAAGTGTTCATGCTTTCTGTACTATCTGTATATTTGTGTGTGCATTTGTATGACAGAGTATATATATATAGCTTAGATATGAGAGGACTTTTGTGTGCTGCCAAATGGGAAGTATTTACATAAATTAGATATACTTTTTATCTGTTAACCATGGGAGCTATTTAAAAATATGTAGCACTTTTAGGGCTAAATAAAACTGGAATTTAGATCATAGGAATGATATACCTTGATAACATTATTATCTTAAAAGATGTATTTATTTACTTGAGAGGTAGAGTTACAAAGAGGAGGAGAGACAGAGAGGTCTTCCATCCACTGGTTCACTTTCCAAATGGCACAAAAAATTAATAAATTATGAAAATGTGATTAAGTTATGTGGCCAGAGCTGGGCTGATCTGAAGCCAGGCACCAAGAGCTTCTTCCGGGTCTCCTATGCAAGTGCAGGGGCCCAAGCACTTGGGCCATCTTCTACTGCTTTCCCAGGCCATCAGCAGGGGACTGGATTGGAAGTAGAGCAGCCAGGACTCGAACTGGTACCCTTATGGGATGTTAGGACCACAGGTAGATAGTTAACCTGCTACGCCACAGCACCAGCCCTAGTAATTTATTATTATTATTGTTATTATTATTATTAAGGATTTATTTATTTGAAAGGCAGAGTACAGAGAGGCGGAGGCAGAGAGAGAAATCTTCCATCTGCTGGTTCATTCCCCAAATGGCTGCAATAGCCAGAGCTGGGCCCATTCAGAGCCAGGAGCCTGAGGCTTCTTCTGGATCTCTCATGCAGGTACAGGGGCCCAAGCACTTGGGCCATCCTCTATTGCTTTCCCATGCCATAGCAGAGAGGTGAATAGGAAGTGGAGCAGCCAGGTTTTCAAACCCGCTCCCATATGGGACACCGGCATTGCAGGTGGCAGCTTCACCTGCTATGCCATAATGCTGCCCCCCCCAATAATCTTATTATTATAATCTCTATGTGTGTGTGTATACTTGCACCGTGTGTGTGTGTGTGTGTGTGTGTGTTTCCTTAGCCCTCTTTCATCCATGGGTTCACTGTTCATGATTTTAGTTACCCATAGTCAATGATTCAAAAGCATTAATTGAAAAATTCCAGAATTAGGCAGTTCCTAAGCTTAAAATTATCCAGTATTTTGAGTAGTTTGATAAAATCTTGGATTATTTTGCAAGACTTTAATCATGCCTTTGTCCAGCATATCTAAATTAGATGTAGATTAATCACGTAGTAGGTGTCTTCATCATCAGATCCACTGTCACAGCATCACCATATGTTGTTCAAGCAAATCTTGTGGCACTTAATAATGCCTCCCAACTACATCAATAATAATACTGGAAATTTTATTTCAGAGTATTGTTGTAATTGTTCTCTTTTATTATTAGGTACTGTTAATCTTGGCTTGCCCAATTTATAAGCTAAACTTTATTGTTGTTATTATGTATGTGTAGGAAAAATATGTTTTTAAAGGGTCACTACTATTTGTAGTAAACTATGAAAATGTGAGTAAGTTATGTGTGGAGGATTAAAAGATATAAGTTATTCTGACAAGATCTGTACAGTATTCTCTTGGTCTCAACTTCTCATCCTTCAAAATATGGATGTTTCCTTTCCTTCCACTATAGGTAGAATGTCTTTCACACAGGGATTTCATCTTCCACTTTAGAAACAGCACAAAGTTCAAGAACTTTTTTGCACCTCCACTTTTTCAGTAGTTTTTAGTTTACTCAATATGCAGGAATAGTATATTTTTACCACTTTGTAAATATAAGTTTTACCAAGAAGAGAAGCTGAATTATTGGCTAGAGATTTTTATATTTATGCTTTCTTTTTTTTTCTGTTTTAAAAAGGTTTGTTTGTTTATTTGAAAGGCAGAGTTACGAAGAGAAAGAGCGGGAGAGAGGAAGAGACCATGACCTTCCATCCACTGCTTCCCTTCCCAAATAGTTGCAATGATGATTGCTTTGCCAGGCTGAAGCCAGGAGCCTAGAACTTCTGGGTCTCTCACATGGGTGGCAGGGGCCTAAATGCTTAGGCCATCTTCTGCTGCTTTCTCAGAGCATTAGCAGAGAATTGGATTAGAGGTGGAGCTTCTGGGACTTGATCTGGTGTTTAGATGGTATGTTGGCACTGCAGGCAGTGACTTAACTGAATACCTCACAACCCTGAACCCTCCTTTTTCATTAGAAAGATACAAATAAAATTGTCCTTGGATCTACCTGTTGGATGAGTATAATGTTCATGTCAGTCTGGGTAATAAAATCTTCAGGTTCACACTATCAGAAACTCAGTAATGAACCATGTTCCTATAAGAAAAAGACTATTCAAGAATTGTAATTACAAATTGACAATATATTCTGTTACTTTTTAATGAATAATCCATTTTTATGAGCTTTTAATAAGTGTAAATATTGATTGATGTTATCAGATGTAATTGCAGAACAGTGTGTTTGCCTTTGAAAGCGGTATATACTCTCTACTTTTTCTGGAATTGCATTGTTCACATATTTAGTATTAATACTTATTTTTCAGCATGTCTAGCATGTCCTGTTATAACGTGTCATCTTTCTACTAGACAATGATCTTGGCAACCTTTTATTATGCTTCAAAGTGTCTGATAAACAAACTGAGTGGATTGAAAACTGCCGAAGACAGTTCTGCAAAGTGATGAAGGCCAAACCTGATATAATCAGTGGAAGTGGTGAGTGCATCATCTCCAGTGTGGGCTTTTTTCTTTGTTGGTGTGAAGATTATATTAATAGAAGCTGTAGTTCCTGAGGATTAGTATTGGCATACCTAGGAAACAAAATACTGATTTCCAAAAGTCCGCTGACTTCTGAGAAATTTGAGATTCTGAGACAACAAAATTAAGATTCAAGAAATTCACAGCCATACTTTAAACTATCCTAACAGACTCTGTGAGAGAATTGGGACACTGGTTTACATTTGCCTTGGTAGAAGTTTGTTTGGTTTTACCAGTTTTCCAGTTAATTTATCCTTCAATAAAAAAGCCTAGATCTAAAAGGAGGAAGACAGAAGGAAATGCAGTTAATGAGATTTTCCCGAGAACTGACTTTCTGATCCCTTACTTTGTTACCCACGATAGGCAGCTGCTGTGCTTTGTGGTAAAGGTGAAGTAAGGGAGAACAATCCATTAAGAGTCTTCCTGAATTGAGCTAAGCCAGGCCATGTAAACATCTACCAGGAGAGAAAGTTTCCACCCTCATCAGACTTCTGTTGTTTTCCTTCTAGGCCTTAAGTTTTTGACAAGAACAGGTGCAGCAGTGTGAATGGATAATTAAAACTTCTGCACTCACAGGAGTCACTGGGAGAAGAAATAGTTTATATGACCCAGAACTTCCCTCTTGCTTGCAGAAATAATTTAATCTTTAAAAATATTTCAGATTCTTCCCTTTCGTAGCCTTATTTTTTTTAAGATTAATTTATTTGAGAGCAGAGAAACACAGTGAGAGGGAAAGATAGCAGAGAGCGAGAGAGAGAGATACCTTTCATCCACTTGCTCCCCAAATGGCCGCACAGCTGGGGCTGGTCCAGGTTGAAACTAGGAACCCAGAACTCCATCCTGGTCTCCACGTGGGCAGCAGGGGCCCAAAGTATTGGGCCATTTTCTGCATCCTTCCTGGGTGTATTAGCCAGAAGCTGAATTAGAAATGGAGTAACTGGGACCCTAACTGGAACTCCAACAAGGATGCCACTTTTGCAAGTGGAGGCTTTACCTGCTGCACCACAGTGCTGGCCCCAATGTCTATTTTTTCTGAGTCTCCTCTTGAACCCCCTATTGACAGTGTATATTTCATACCTTTTTTCTAAGGTAGAACTAACTAGAAACATTTCATTCTGAACATCTGATTTCCTTCATTTGTATGTTTTTGGTTTTGATTTTTTTAAAGATTATTTTATTTTAGAGGCAGAATTATAGAGAGGCAGGGGCAGAGACAGAGAGAGAATCAATCTTCCATCTACTGGTTCACTCCCCAAATGCTCACAACTGCCAGGGCTGAGCCAGGCCAAAGCCAGGAGCCAGGAGCTTTCTGTGCAGGGTCCCAAGAACTTGGGCTATCCTCTGCTGCTTTCTCTAGGTTATCAGCAGGGAGCTGGATCAGAAGTGGAGCAGACGGGGTTCAAACTGGCACCCATGTGATATGCTGGCTCTTCAAGCAGCGGCTTTACCCTCTATGACACAGCGTGGGCTCTGCTTTGGATTTCAGACATCTTCATAAGCTATCACTATTTTTTTAAATTATTATTTGATAGAAACAGAATGCTCCCATCTGCTGATTCATTCCCAAAATGCCAAAGGCCCAGAGCTCAGCCAGCCAGAGCCAGGAGCCAGGAACTCAATCTAGGTCTTCCCTGATTATCCAAAATCCAATCACTTGAGCCATCACCACTGCCTCTCGAGGTATGCAGTAACAAGAGGCTGAAGATGGTATTAAATACAGGTACTGGTTGCCCCTCCCTAACATTTTGTGCATTAGAATACAAATCATTCCACAATTCTATTTGTTTTTGTTGTTTCGTTGTTGTGACGTGGTCCCAGTAAATCTGATTAATACCTCGTTTCCTCCTTAATTGCCTAACCTAATTTCTTGATCTCTATCCACTGTAAATAATAGATTCTGTAGTCAGTTACAGATACAGTATTTTCTAACCTTTTACATCTGTCTTCAAATCAACTCCTTATAAAAACAAGCCTCTATCTGTATATTTCACTTTTTTTCTCCCCAGCATTACCCATTAATTTTTAATTACTGACCTAATAATTAAATATGCGACTTAAAATTTGTTCTAAGTATATCTTTCCTATTTTTGTTCACTAATATTAATTTAGTTCGCAGCCAAAATTTTAGAATAAGAATCGTTAGTTTCCATATTACATGTACAGCCTGTCTGACAAACAATATTGGAAACTTTGGAATACTTTATAAGTATGTATAATACATTTTTGGAGCTATGTTTTTTCAGATGCTGAATTTTTCATAACTTGGATTCTTCAGAACTGTTCTTTAACCTGGTTTGGCCTCTTTGCCCTTTTAAACCTTTTCCATCCCGCATTTACTTCTAAGAGTCTCCTTGCCTTGTGACAATGATGGAATCTTTTGAAATAACTTTTCCTGCTCCTAGATAATCTAAGGGGTCCTACTTCCTGTTATTGGAGAAATACCACTGATCTCTAGCAGTGCATATTAGATGTTGCAACATAGTTACCCAAGATAAAAAGCATGATATAAAATAATCCTCTTTAAAAAAGAACATGTATTTATTTTGAATTTACCTTGTTTATATTTTAGTTTCTTTTTATTTCACCCTGAAGATTTAATCTAATTCTTCACTTTGAATTATCATTTATTTAAATTATGCTGCCTTTCTCTCCTCCCACTTTAGATTTTTTCTGTATGAGACACTATGGAGAAAGCAAAATAATGTATGTTCTTCCTCTTGTTTTGCCTTTTTGATTAGCAATAGCATCTACTTGCCATTGTAAGCAGCCTGGTTCTCCCTTTTTTTTAATCCCCTGAATAATTCCAGTCCTCCCAGGTACCAGGTTGTCGCTCCCCCTCTTCGTGGAGGAACGACACAGGACCCTGCGCTGTTCCTTCATCTGCTCGACCCTCCCCGGGTTTGCTGCTGGTTCTTCCAGGGTTGGCTACCGTCCTTTCCACCTCCGTGGAAGGGCGGTTCCCCCTAGCCACTTTCCCCACTTCCGCGGGGAGCGGCACACCGCCGGCGGCTCTCTCGGGGGCTGCACAGGTGTTCCTCTTAGATGTTCCTGGTGCATGTTGTCTCTCTCCTCCTTTATAGTCCTCTTCCACCAATCCCAACTCTGCTACCCACACGCCGAGTACGCTGCTCTACTCCAATCAGGAGCAGGTCCTGCAGCTTGTTGGTAGAACTGGAGGCAGCTGGGTAGAAGCTATTTCCTCCTCTCCCAGCACCATATTGTGGGAGAGCAGATGCATAGAATAAGTCTTAATTCCAGTAACTTAGTCTAGTCCGAGTTGCTCCCCACACCAGGTCTTACAGATTTTTTTCCTAAATATGTCTAATTGGTTCTTCCTCAGACAGGACCTCTGCCACCACTTTCATGCAAGTACCCAACATTCTGCAACTGGACTGTTGTATGTCTAATACAGAAATTAAAATCAATAAAATGAGAAACCGGAATTTTCTATAATTGTATGCTTCAGAGATCCTCATTGCTAAGAGCAGACTAGAATTTTAATAATGTGAGTTGTCTGATTATTTCACAGCCCTAAATGATTAAAATAAAAAGAGACATATAGCTTAGCTACGGACTGACTGCTCAGTAGAAGCAGACATGAAGACATTAAATCTCCTGAGAGAAATCACGTGAGGAGCTAGTGATGCTGAGAACAAAAGCCGGAAACCTCAAAGAAAGGTGTACATTGTCTGATACTGGAGGATAAAAGTGTCTGTTTCTTTGTCCTCCCATTCAGTTACCTTTGTGAGCACAACTATGTTTTACTCTCATTCCATTCTCAGTGACCTCCCAATGGCACTTGCCCGTCATCGTGATGCTGTTACCAAAGCTGCTTCTCCCACAGCACCACTTCTTGGCTTGGCTCACCATGAGAAGGAGAGTTTTAGCAAAATTCCTGACCTTATGAATTCTTCCATGCTGCAACTACGCCAATACCTCTAAATAATACCCTTACTTTAATGATGTTAGATAGATATCCGTGGACTGAAATGGGCCTATCTTATTACATATATTGGTTATACATATATGAGAACCATGATAATTGCATCAGTAGTAAGTATTCCAGGATTGTTGCATGCAGGATGTTGATTAGGGAGAAAACAAACTGTGTTAGTTCAGCTTACATATTATCTGATGATATGCTAGCAATGATAAAGCAGTTTTAAAATTAATTTAGAATAATGAATTCAGCAGTAAAGTTTAATATTTACCAGTGTTGTTTTGGAACCAATTATTGTTTGTGAAGATGTCCTAATATTTTTGCATTTCCTTAACAAAAAGAAAATGTTATACAGTTATCTTATCCTGGCCATTCTAGGGTTTGGGAATTCCAAGATCAAAGAATCAGCCTATACAGAGTTTACTGACAGCATGCCGTCTGCCTCAAAATTAGCACCTTTATACTTTGTCCTCACATGATAGGAAAGGAGGCAAAGCTCTGATCAGCTTCTTTCAAAGGATGCTAATCTCATTTATGAGGTTAGGGTCCTGATGCCTTAGTCACTTTCCAAAGTCCTAACCTCTATCACATGGAGCGGTAGAGTCCAACATATGATTAAGGGGGTGAAGGGATTAGCATTCATTCTGTAGGGCTAGGGAGTAAGCAGACTAATTACCTGAGTGTATTTGAGCAAGCTACCTTAGTTTCTCCTTAGCAAAAAAGCTACAAATATTACACCTTGTGATTTTTATAGTCTGTTAATCTCATATTCCTACCCCTGAATTAAAGGAAAAAAGGCCAATAATTTAAAATTATCTTTGCATAGGGAATATAACTGTACTGTGTTGGTGAGCCTCTATATCATATTGATCTAATAGCATAACTTCATATTTCATGATCAGTACTTTTCAGAAATAGTGTGCCTTGGTTGGTATGTAATGAATCTGATGACTTTTAAGTTTCAAATCCTCTTGTATGTAGATCCATCACAGATGTGAAGAATTTTTTAGTTCACTGAAGGGTGGTCAGCTGTATGTCTGACTGCAGAGCGTGTTTAACTGTATGCTTCATTGCAGGCATAGGATTAAAAGAGTTGCTGAGTAATACGCTGTGACGTTACCCACTAACACTTTACTTAAATGCAGAGCATGCAGCAAACATGATTTACTGAAATCAGAATGATTACTTTATAGTAAGATTTTTAAATGGACATTTGCATTTAAAATTACCTTTTTATAGGATCTGATCTTTGTTATTAATGTATATCTTGCATCCTATCTGAATTACATCGATACCATTCTTCCTACAAAATATATAATCCTAAGAAACATTATTTATAAACAAAGTTGTGTGAATAGAAAATAAAGAGCTCTAGCCTGAGAACTGTAATTTATATATAGATTCACAGAATAAAAGACCTTTGAGAGATTTTTATAATTATGATCAAACTTGTGCTTTATTCATGTGAAGATGGAACCAGTCTAAACAAGTATCAACTTAAATAATTCGTACTACTATTAATGTCTTTTTTGACCTTCACCATATATTTTCAACACTTATTTCCTTTTGACATCATGATGTGAATATTCAGTGAATAAAACATTTCTTTTTATATTAAACCATTAAAATATTATGATGTAGCTTGCCAGCTACAAAGATTGTTGAAAAGCATTATGTTCTTTTTGATTTTGCACTTTTTACAAGTTAAACACTAATTAAGAATTATATGCTGAAAAGGCACTTGGATGTGAAATAGTCCTTTCAATTAATAGTGATAGTTATGTTGAATGTCATTAGGACTCAATTTTAAAAGGTGACTAAAATTTGCTTGTTATGTGAATAAGCATATCAGTGATATATACCTTTTCAGCATATGAGTTGCATATTAATTACAGTCCATCCAGTTATATCCATTTGAGGCTCTATGTGCAAACACAGAATCATTATCTAACCTTATAAAGTGGAAATGTTTTGTTACTATAAGCCACATTGGGTAAGCATACTTTTGATCTGGCTGATTTGAACAGATACCATCAGTTGGAATGTATATAAAACATATACTATGCCCTGATTTTGAAAGGGACATGGGTGATGTGTGGATCTCTGTCTTGGAGTCCACTTGGGTTTCCTCTCTATTCATAAATGCAAATAGTGATGGTGAGATATTACAGCCTAATTAGTGATAATTTTCTTTGTGTATTGAAATCATTTAGAAAATTCTGAAATGATCCTTAGAGGATCTAAAGATAACAGATGATTCTTTTCCAGTTTTATATTGAATAGGTTCACAGCTAAGCTATTAAAATTTAATTTAAATCTCAAATGTCGTTATGAATACTAAAACCATATGCATTGTGAATTTGTCCCTCTTAGAGTGTAACTGTGAAGAAACTCATATGACTTTTATCTTCTAGTCTGTGATTTGGAGTATATTATGTATTATTCCTGACCTTTACTTTCCTAACTTTTTCTCTTGTTTATTACAGCTTTAGTAGAATTACTTGAAAAATTTGTGCTTCATCTCACTGAAAGCCCATCTGAATGTTACTTCCCCTCAGTGGAATATACAGGTATATTTTAAACATTTTGAAGCTTGAAAAATGCTGTGTGCAACTAGGTAATATCTCATAGTGATGCATAATTAGATCACAAATATGAAGAAATTATATCATCCTAAAAATCTTTCACTTGATCCTGTATATGTTGCAGATATCATTCAGTCTCTTCTGTTTGACATGTCTGGGTTTCCTATAACTCTGGGATTGATTCTTGAGCTCTTTTTTTTTCCTATCTATTCATTAATTTTTTTTTATTAAGGCAGTGTCTTTCACTCTTTTGTTTATGTTATTTTACTTATATGTGTGTTAATGACTTCAAAATTTACATCTCCTGCACAAATGTATGTAAGGTTCATTCTCATATTTCTGGCTGCCTAACAGGTAAATGTCAACTGGATTCAATGTAGAATGCTTCAAACTCAAAATGTCCAGCAGGGACTTGATTTCTTCATACTTTATTAGCATACACTGCCCTTGTTCATCTTCTATTGAGTGGGGAGTATAATCATCTACTAACCACTGAAGCCTAGAAATAATTGTTCTGTTTAAGTCTACATTTTATTAAGTCTGTATTCTTAATATATCTTAAATTTGGGACGGTGCCGTGGTTCAGTTGGTTAATCCTCCACCTGCAGTGCCAGCATCCCATATGGGCGCTGGGTTCTAGTCCCAGCTGCTTCTCTTCTAGTCCAGCTCTCTGCTGTGGCCTGGGAGGGCAGTGGAGGATGGCTCAAGTGCTTGGGCCCCTGCACCCACATGGCAGACCAGGAAGAAGCACCTGGCTCCTGGTTTCGGATCAGCATAGCTCCAGCCGTAGTGGCCGTTTGGGGAGTGGACCAATGGAAGGAAGACCTTTCTCTCTGTCTCTCTCTGTCTCTCCCTGTCTATAACTCTACCTGTCAAAAATAAAAAATAAAAAAAAAATAATGTATCTTAAATTTATGTAATTGTATCCATCTGTGCTCTTTTTTTTTTATTCTGTCCACCATAACTCTTGCCTAATATATTACATCAGACTCTTTGCTATGTAAGGTCACTAAATTTGCTCATTGTCAAAGGTATTCTTTACCCTACTGTGAGTGACTGAAATGAAACTGAACCCACTTTTTCCTCTACCCCTTAGGTCACTGTTGTTCACTACATAAAGCCCAACCTCATTATGGTACTCAGGCCTAACAGTATCTTGCCCCTTCCTTTTTCCCTAGTATCACCCATTTTTTTCCCATGCTACATGTCCATTTTTTAACAGCACTAATCACACCACTGCCAACTTCTCTCCACCTCAGATATACACATACACATTCATTAATTCAACAAGCAAATTATTATTTCATACTGTGCAATGAGATGTTTCTAAGGATTTGTACACAAAAGTGAAAAAAAGACAAGAAAGATCTTGCCTTTATGAAGTTTACTTTCTGTTAAGAGGACAGAAAATAAGAAAAGGCTCATTATGTCAAATAACATGGTGATAAATGAGAAATATACAGCAGGAAAAAGAGTTAGAAAGTGCTAGCTGGGGTGAGAGTTACAGTATTCTATAGTGTCCACATAAACATTCACAGAAGGTGTGATTTTTAAGCAAAGACTAGCATTGCTATCCGGGACAGCTGGAGCAGAGTTTCTTAGCTTCTGCTCCCATCCATTAAGAAAAGAATGTCTAATGTGAGACACAGATTGACTGTAAACAACTTCACAAAGTTTAATGAAGCAGTAATCTCAACAGGCCAGGGGGGCAACTCATCAAGGAACTGAGTGCCTAGTCTGCATTCAGACTAGAGTTTATATGGGTATAATTCTCCCCACTGTTTCTTTGTTCCCTTGTTCCCCACCTTCTGGCATAGTACTGAGCAAAGGGCTTTTGGAATGTGACATTTGTGAAATTTTTTCTTAAATCTTTATTACACAGTGATAACAGAAATAGCTCCTTGATGCTGGAATAGGAAGTTTTTCCTGTGGTATATCTCGGGGTGGGGTGGGGTGGGGCGGTAATGCTGAGACCCCACTACCAAGTTATCGGACATGGGCAGGACTTTGGAAATGTGAAGATACCAGGCTGCTTCCGAAGCACATCTAAGACTGCTACATTGCTTCCCTTAGCAAACTTCTTGTCTTCCTTTCAGCCCCTTTCACACACATAGGCTATGCCTACCTTCCTGCCTAATAGTAGGAGAAAAGAGCAAGATATATGGGTACTTCCAGGGGAAGAAAATTCTACGTGGCTAGGAAGGAGAATACTATGACTGAAAGTATTAAGGAGAAAATTGTGGCATTAACATTAGAAAGGAGAAGATGTTTCAGGGTCTTGAAAGTCATTTCAGGGTTTTGCATGTAGGGGTAACATGCTGCTTTACATTTTATAAGATAACTGTGACTGCTGTGTTGAGAAAAGATTGATGGAGGACAAAGAGCTGAAGCAGGGAGATAAGCTAAGAGTCTATTGAAAAGATCTAAAAGAAAAAGAATAATGCTCCAATGAGGATGCCAGTAATAATGAAAGTGAGAAATGCTTGGATCTTTCATATATTTGGGGGATAGGACAGAAAGGATTCGATAAGAGATGGAACGGAAGGTGTAAATGAAGGAAGGGGTCAGGACGTCTCTTAGGTACCGAGAGGACGGAGCAGTCGTATGCTGAAGACAGAGACTGGGGAGGAAAGGGCTCAAGGGAGGAAGGTAGGAGCTTACTTGTTTATGGCTTACTTGTTTATGCTAGGTTTTGGATATTTGTTAGACATTCAAGTAGATATGCTTCGTACACACTGGACATGTAAATCTGAAGGCTAGAGGAGTTGTATGGGCTTGAAATGCAAATTACTAATTCATCAGCTTGGTATATAAAGTGTATAGTCATTGCATTGACATTTGTTTATTACGTTCTGACTCAATGTCTAATTGTTCACATTGCTGTGAAGTCTTCTGGGGTAGTTTTTTTTGTCTTATCCATTATTGTATTCTCTGTGCTTAGAATAACAATGGCAGTAAATTTTTACCAAATAAAAGAAGAAATGAATAACAGTGAAAGAGGAGGGCTTTGTAAATTATATCAATGAATTTATCTTAATTTAATGGACAGTGAGCCATTTAAGATTTCTGAGCAGAAGCGTTACTTGACTCATTTAGTATTTTATGTTAGATTATTTTAGTAACTATGCAAGTGGGGAATGTCTGATGTGCAGGCTGTATTAAGGCTCATGAAATCATTTGTGTCGCTCCCCTGCCCGCAAAGGAACGACGTTGCTCACAGCTTATCAGTCTTCAGTAGACTTTTATTTAAACAGGATAGAAAAAGAAACCCTTGAGCAAGGGGAGCTCCCGTTACTACATCACGAACGGCTTATATAGTATATCATTGCAGAAGCATGTAATACAAGCTTAGTCCATGCTACAGTCCATGCGGCAGTGCTCCAATCGCGTGCCTGATCACGCACAGTCCTTGCGCTCCTTGTCCAACCATAAAGGTGATCACACACCTTCATCCAATCAAGCTCCTGGTCACGTAGCAGGCGACTCGGACGCTAACAGCAAGCTTCCACCTGGTGTTTTCTCAGCCTTGGTCAGTGGGAAAAGAAGTATGGGAAGTCCCAAGGCCATAGTTATAGACTCTAGCCTGGGGCTATGGAACGGTCCCAATATCGCAGCTCAACAGAAACCATAAACATCCACACAGCAGTAACTATTGCCAATGGTCAGCAAGCTAAGCCTTAGCATGTGGGCCCATGGCCGGCTCATGGGTCCCCACAATTTGGTCTTGCACTGTCATGATATGTTGTATTGTCATTTTTATTTGTTTCTAGATATTTTTTGATTTCTCTTTTGATTTCTTCTGTGACCCACTGTTCATTCAGTAGCATGTTGTTCAGTATCCATATGTTTCCATATATTCTAGAGTTTCTGAGCTGTTGATTTCCAACTTCATTCCATTGTGGTCAGAGAAGATTTATGGTATGATTTTGATTTTTTTGAATTTGCTGAGACTCGCTTTATGGCCTAGCATGTGGTCTGTCCTAGAGAAAGTTCTATGCGCTGGTAAGAAGAATGTATATTCTGTGGCTGTAACATGGAAAGTTCTGTAGATATCTGTTAGGTCCATTTGGTCTATAGTGTCAATTAATTGTGTTGTTTCCTTATTGAATTTCTGTCTGGCTGATCTGTCCACTGCTGAAAGTGGGATATTGAAATCCCCATTACTACTGTATTTGAGTCTGTGTCTCCGTTTAGATCCATTAACATTTGTTTTAAATAGCCAGGTGCCCTGTAATTAGGTGCTTATACATTTATAATAGCCACATATTCCTGTTGAATCGATCTTTTAATCATTACATAGTGCCTTTTTTTGGTCTCTTTTAACAGTTTTTGTGTTAAACTCTATTTTGTCTGGCTACACCAGCTCTTTTTTGGTATCTTTTAGCATGGAATATCTTTTTCCATCCTTTGATTTTCAGTCTGATAAAATTTTTATTGGTAAGTTGTGTTTCTTGTAGGCAGCAAATATATGGGTTTTGTTTTTTTAATTCATTCAGCCAGTCTGTCTTTTAACGGGAGAGTGGAGGCCATTTACATTCAAGGTGACTATTGATAAGTAACGACTGCCCTGCCATTTTTCCAAAAATAGTCCTATTTTTTACTTTGGATTTCCTTTGTACTTTTACTGGGGGATTTTCTGCTTTCACCCTCTTTCATAATGATGACCTTCTTTCTGTGTTTCTGTGTGTAGCACATCCTTAAGCATTTTTGGTAAGGCTGGGCAGGTGGTGACAAATTCTTTCAATTTCTGTTTGTTATAGAGGGTCTTTATTTCTCCTTCATTCATAAATGAGAGTTTTGCAGGGTATAGTATTCTGGGTTGACAGTTTTTTTCTTTTAAGACTTGGAATATATTTACCATTCTCTCCTATTTTCTAGGGTTTCTGATGAGAAGTCCACTGTGAGTCAAATTGGAGATCCTCTGAAATTAATCTGCTGTTTCTCTTGTGCACATTTTAAAATCTTTTCTTTATTTTACTATGGAG